GGTTGATAGTTTTAGGAGTTGAGAGATTGGGCTTGGACACACAATTTATAGAGGAGAAAACCTGCTCCTTTGAAAGATATGACAAGGTTTTGCAAGAATGCAAGTAGTTCTTTCCCACTGTATTCTTTTTTAAGTATTGCACACTTCTTAATAAAGATATTTATAACTGTTAAATCAGCATTGGCACTTGAATTAGGGTAGGCTATCTACATTACACTCCCTGGGTGGGGCCTTCTCCTCTAACCCTGCGTGAACGCGGGATGCTTTGTGCATCGGGCTGCCCTTTTATTTATAACTGTTAAATTATTTGTCTAAATTATCCTTTATATCTCTTCTAAATGTCTTATTTTTATTAACTTTTTACTAATGGAACAGTGAGGATATATTTGAAAAACAGTAATAAATGACACCTTCATTTATTTTTAAAGTCAAATATTTTGAAGTAAATTCATTGAGAGCAGAGAATTATTATTTTTCCCTGGTCTGTTCTCTTGTGTTCAGTTAATGAGCTTTGATTCCAATAATCTTAGTCATGTAGAACATTTTGAATTGCATTCACATTTTGCTTGCTCTGCTACAGGACTTGAGGAAAAATATGCCAGATGGAATAATTATTGCTCAATTAGAGATTTATTAGTTGTTACGCAAAGGATGACATTATATTTATCTTAGAAGAAAATGTTCAAGTTCATACTTATCAAGGAATTTGAATATTGATCAGTGAATCATTTTTAAGTCTAATTTTATATACACAGAGATAGAGGCGGATCCAGAATTTAAATTTAATGTGTTCAAACTTACACTAAATTCATTATACTGTTAAAACTATGTGTTCAAANATATATATATATATATATTATACTAAACTTCATCAGCTTCATAATTGTCATTTACAACAAAATTACCATCCGACCATATATAACGTACGATCGTTAACTCATGTTTAAAACTTAATTAGATGTTTTTCAGTATATGGATATCTTCTTGATTAGAATAGCCTAAGTAACTGGATAGAACCTACGGAAATTATTCATTTAATTATCATCATGATATATATCCCAATTTCTTGTGAAGTAGATTCTTACTATTTGGCGATTAGCAAAAGACTAATCTAGAACACGTGCACCGCATGCGGCACAAAGCAACAAATACAACTAGGCATTGATAAGGCACAATTGTGAGGAAAGTGTGACCCTCTATACTGTTAACTTTTTCAATTTTTCTTTTTCTTTCCCACCAAATTTAAAATTTTCTTTCGACTCAGACGCAATTTATTGTCAGACTTAGCTGGGCGTCGGTTCTTTTTAGATTAAACTGTTTGAATATGAATACATATTTAATTATCAAGATATTGACAATTTGTATTCACGTATTTTGACTGTGTATAATTTGTAAGTATAAAATTTCAATAAAATATAACAACATATTAATTAATCTTAATTTACATGATATCGTAAATAATTATTATTTAATGAAGCAAACTATAGAAGCAAGCAATGCTGCTAGTGGTCGGAGATTATGGTTGTGAAGTAATAGTTGGTGGAGGATGCTAGTGATAGTGGTTATGTAGTTATGGTCGGTGGTGGTTGTGCGATTTTCGCCAAAAGGTGATGATCGTATATATGGTGATCGGTGGTGGTAGTGATAGATAAATCATGAAAGTAATTAGTGGGGTAGTTGGTGGTGGAAGTGACTACTGACTACTAGTAGCGGCGGCTAGTAGCGTGGATAACGGTAGAGGTAGTTGGTGATGGTTGTTAGTCGTGGTAGTTGTGCAGCGAAGGTTAGTGGTGATGATTAATTATGCGATGATAGTGATATAGTACGTGGTATAATGTACGTTTTTAAGTGAACAATGTTTTGAATAATTTTAAAATTATGTATGAAATTTGAGCGAATCACACTTATTCAGAGCAAATAAGTACTAATAGTAGTAGTAGTAGAACCAAAAAAGTAAATGCACTTTAAGACTGATATTTGAATAATTCAGATGAGACCTCTATTGAGTGTAAATAAACGGGCCTAATACAACAATCAAAAGCACTATTATTCAGAAAAATACCTCTGAACCATTGAATAGCCAATATCGATCTCTTTTCTGTAAGATAGTTTGTTATTTTAAAACTGGGAAGTGTAGGATTCTAAAAGGGTCTGTCGGTTGCCTATAAATACACAAGAATTTTCAACGAAGTGGCATAGAAAAATCACAAGTATTATTGTAGGCTTTGTTGTATCCTGAAGAGAATCGTTTTGTATTTTCGCAAATTAGTTTACAGGCGATAACTCATTAAAGACAGTTAATTTTCACGCCTCAAAGCCGTTTCCTTTATTATTTTCTAACATTTTCCCTGTCATTTTTCTTTCTATGATCGCGATATCTTTTATGGTTGAAAATATGCTAATGAAAATATAGACATTAAAAGAAAGGGACACAGAGTATATAATATTTGATACTCTTCTTTCCTGATTTTGGAACTCTAAACGTTATCGAGCTACTCTGAACAAAATGCTAAAAGATCACTTCCAAAGACTGATAGAGTATTGAATTTATGTGCGAAAAGAACCTAAAATCAAATAGGTCATTGAATTTAAAATCTCAAACGTTTTACACGAAATTCAAAAATTAGTGGCAATCATATTATACATGTCTTATATATTTATAGGGGTGTAACCATCGGGAGCCAATAAATTTTACAATCATGTATATTACTTTAAACCAAGATAAGATGTCCTACTCATCCAAAATTAGTTTTTATTTATATCTGAAATATTATACTTTTGACCTCTCACTTATTGACAATTCTCATACAATAAAAGATTAGGAACATTTAATCTCTAATTAACAAATTATACGAACTTTCCATCCACCACTAGAATTTACCACAAAATTAATGAATTATCAGAAGTTAAAACTATAAATACTCTTCTTTTGTGCTAAGAGAAAGTCAATTGGTACTTTTAGTCCTTTTTCGGTTAATTCTACTAAGTTTATAGATGTTGTTGAGTATTGAGGTTTTGATGATTAACAAAGTTTGTTCAGATGAAATGTTCTAAGAACCAGGTCCTCACCGTAGCTGTTTAACTGCTCTAAGAACCAGTTTCTCAGGGCTAAGGACCAGATCCTCAAGCTTGATGATTGTACGTCTTTGCAAGACAGTAACTTTGTTTCAAAGTTACCGAGACCCAAGTTTGTTGGAAGAAGACTGTTAAACATGATAAGGGTCGTTGCCCAAGAAGATACGCATGCATAAGTGAGAGACAAGAGTCCCAAGACTTGTGGAGTCCTTGGAGCAGTTGGAGTCCTATCAAACGAGAAGCTGACTACGCATAGGACTCCTAAAAGATCTCGGCGTCTAGGAAATTTAAATACTATCTTTTTGGACTGATAAGAGCATCCTTTCACACATCAACTGGAGAACTACATTTTCTACACTCAAGTCGAGTACTAGTGTTATGTTCTTCTTGAGTCAGTCTAGTAAATGTGTTTTAGGAAATCGAGTTGTAATCAAAGTGTCATATACAATCAGTGAGTTGGAGTGAGTATTTGGTTTTGCAAGTTAGAGTAACCTGTAAATCAAATAGTTGGAATAGGAGTACTGGAAAGTATTGAGTTACAGATTTGTAATCAATATATTTGGCTCATTGTTCTAGTGAAGTTGAAGTTGAAAATCCTACGTAGTAGGTCGTGGTTTTTGCATCTTTTGAGCCGGGTAATTTTTCACGTAAAAATTATTGTGTTTACTTTACTACTTATTTTACTTTACGCGTAAGGAGTAAGATAAAGAACCAAGTTCTTTAGTAATCTATAAAGGCACTCAAACTAACAATTGGCATCAGAGCAAGTTCTCTCACGCACGGCTAACACCTAGAGAGATCGTGGAAGAAAAATGAGTGTTCCACCTGGAATTAACGAAGGAAAATCGACTACCAGACCACCCATGTTTAATGGAAAATACTACAGTTGGTGGAAAGCAAGAATGGAAGATTTTCTGACGGCTAAAGATTATGAACTGTGGACCATAATGAACCAAGGTCTACTAACTCCTACTAAACAAAATGCGCAAAATGAAACTGTTCCTAAGGACCCCTCCAAATTTGTGGCAGCTTATTTCAGAATGATGGAGAAGAATGCAAAGGCTAAGAAAATCCTTATCTGTGGACTTTGTCCTGATGGGTACAACAAGATATCAGCTTGCTCCAATGCAAAGGAGATCTGGGATGCACTCCAAACTGCTCATGAAGGAATAAACCAAGTGAAGATATCAAGAATAGAATTACTTATGAGAAACCATGAGCTTTTCTTCATGAAGGAGTCTAAGCCCATCCAGGAGATGATGACTAGATTTACCATAATAACAAACTATCTGAAATCACTTGGAAAGGTGTTTACCTCAGAAGAGTTGTTTAGAAAAGTTCTAAGGATTCTTCCACCTTCGTGGGAATCAAAAGTCACAGCTATTCAGGAAGCCAAAGAGCTGGATAAGATCTTACTTGATGAGATGGTTGGAAACTTAAAGACTCATGAAATGAGAAAGATAGAACTGTGCAAGGAAGAACCAAAGAGAGATAAGTCCTTGGTCCTTAAGGCATCTGAATAAGATGAATCTGACAGTGATAATCCTGACCTAGCAATGTTTTCTAAGTTCAAGAAGTTCATAAAGAATTCCAAAAATGCATCTAAGAGAGAGAATAGTGATAAGCCTAACCAGATAGACAAAGCTACTTATGATGGATATTACAAGTATAGCAATCTAGACCACATGGTCAAAAACTGCCAATGTGGAAAATTGAGTGGAGGAAAGAACGAGCTGAAAAGGAGAAACGAGAAAAAATGAGAGAGAAGGGTTCAAATAAAGGAAAAATCCTAGGTAAAGGATTCACTGAAATAAT